GCAATCCATCCTATTCGTGCTGTCCTCTGATGCAGCAGCCATTTCAGTGTCTTCATGCTTAATGCACCTAGTAGCAGTTGATTGGCATTTCTTCTCTCTTTGCTTCCCCTCCATGTAATCTTGAAAAAAATATCTGAATTGTTGTTAATATTTTGAAGTACAACCACCTAGCCATTGAGGGAACAATACTCACTTACTGCTTTAGACGTGGTCATCGTATTTTATTGTAGACAATCGCCCACTTATGTTACTGTGATTTTTGTTACCATACACCTCCCCAAATGTTTGACATGCCAACATTTGCTATGATGATATGCAATATTCTTTGTTTAGGCTAAACTATCCCCCACAACAGACCTTAGGACTTCATATCATTCAACACACTGTTCAAACATTTCTGTCATCCATCTCAGTGTTTGTAATTTCTTTCTTGAAGTTCAATTCCTGTTACTTTTTCCTTCATTTAGTTAAAAAACATTATTCACTTTTGCAATTGGTCCACCATATGAATGGCAACAGTTAAAGTGTTGAGGGTGTCAGGTCAGGAATAAGGCAGCTGAAGAATTATCTGGATGTTGCTAATCCACTGTGCTTATTCCCAGGAGTTGGTGTCTGTTGGTTTTTATCTGGTTTCCTAGCTCACCCCCCAAACGGCTGATCCAATTAGCCACGGACAAGACAAACTTCCCATGAGTGGTGAGAACCTTGTTCTCCAAATGATAAGGTAACCACCTCATCACATGACACTATTTAAAGCTGGGTGGACCTAACAGCCAAGGTCATGTTTTTTTTTTCTTTTATCCGCCTGATGTGGGTCTGAACCCAAGACCTTCAGGCTGGCTGGCAGGCATGTGTCTAGCCACTACTCTGCTGCATCCCTTCAGTTAGGTTCACATTATCTATTAAAATCCCACTCAGTGGGGACTCAAACTTATAACCGGGTCATCTGGCAAATAAGCTAATCACTGAACTATCACAGCATGGCATCCATGCCTATTAAACAGTAGGGGGGGGGGGGGGGGGGGGGGCGCACTGTCATTACCATCTGTTTTACCATAAATTTAGAGATGTAGGACACAGAAGTCTTGAGTCTAAAGATTCATGCATGGCTGGTGCAATCGGCACAGAACGTGCAGGGTTAGGATATTATTTTTTGCCCCTTACAATACAATTAAACAAACCCATCACCTTTTCTGGGTCTCCCGAATGAGATGCCAGCAACTCCTCCCCAAAATATCTTCTTATTTTTGTATGTCCACTCCGTGTGGCATTGGTAGTCATGTCTGTCCACACCCTTCTGTCTCATGTAGTTTCTATCTTTTCCTCCATGCTTTGATGTCAAACTATCCAGCATCTTCTCTCTTTGTCTCCCCCTGCCTCTCTTTCCCCCTGTCACAAGGTACTCCAGTTTTCTCCATCTCATGACATGACCAAAAAGTGTAGATTTCTCCTTCCGATGCGGGCAATCAGTTCTCTTCATGAATCAGTGTCTTTTAAGACATCTTCCTTACTCTTTTATAATCGGTCCAGGGTATTCTCATCTCTCATCAAACAGTTTCCAAATAATTAAATACCAATCGACCAACTGCCTATGATTCACTTCCGTATATCAGGATAGGATTTATTTAGCTTTTAAGAATTCTCTTTCTCGACACCAATCAATAAACCGAAATGGTGGAAAGAAATGATCAAACTGCCATAAATGTTATCTTCTTCTTCTTCTTTGTGTTCACCAGCTGTACACTCTGGCGTAAAGTTCTGGTTGTTCGTCCACTACTGAACTGCAGTCATGCTCCAGAACCTGAGTGTTGCATGTGCATCAGTTTTACAGATCTGATTCAATTGAATGCAGACTGCTGGTTCCTTGCCTCTCAGGCAGATGCACTCCGACTTCAAAGGAAGCTCCCCAGTTAGTCGACTCTTACGACATGCTTTTGGGGAGGCAGTGGGTCTATTCTTGTTTTCCCCACAATAGGGCCCCGGAACCCACACGGGGGATAAATGTTATCAAAAACCTACCTGTGTTGCAAGGGCAGGAAGTAAAAGTTGATCAGCTGAGCTGCTGGCCAGATCTGAAAGTAAAACAGCCAAATATGACACATGAACTAGTACAATCAATCAACTGATCAGTGCGCCCCTCCTCATTGCTATCTATATGTTTTCCATACCATTATGAGATTTAAAAAAAACCTTAGTCTGGATGGCAGACCAATAAGGTAGACTCCCATATAATACTTCAACCTACAAAGAAGTCAAGGGCACTAGTAATGGCAACTACGCCAAGATGTAATGTACAGTTCTTTGTGGGTAAGGGCTAGATTGTGCATTTCTTACCGACAGTAAGCACACACAAAAACATGCAAAGTTATCTATGAGAATATCGTAAGCCATCTGACAGACGGTCAAAATAAACATGTGAGGCCACTCCAAGTAGGTCGAACTGAGCCTGTCATCCCTGTTTCATCTCAAACTGTTCAACTGAACACTAACTTGAGACTGTTAAAATGACATTACACCAGAGATTTAGTGGTATTAAACATAACTCACAGGAAATTACTGGGGTTGTTTCCCCTTATTTTTACACCCAAACCAAAGATGTTTCTCTTCTAGTCATTTATCTTCTCATTATGAAACAAAGGCCCTCAACCAACTCAAGCCAAGTTGTCTCCCCAAGCTGCCTTATCTTTTGCTGTCTCCTGAACTTCTGCTATCTCCTGAACCTTCTGCTATCTCCTGAACCTTCTGCTATCTCCTGAACCTTCTGCTATCTTCTATACCTTCTATCATCTCCTGAACCTTCTGCCACCCCATGAACCTTCTGCCACCCCATGAACCTTCTGCCACCCCCTGAACCGTCTGCCACCCCCTGAACCGTCTTCTACATCCTGAACGTTCTTCCACCTCCTGAACCTTCTTCCACCTACTGAACCTTCTTCCACCTACTGAACCTTCTTCCACCTCCTAAACCACCTTCTACATCCTGAACCTTCTGCCACCTTCTGCCACCTTCTTCAACTTCCTGAACCTTCTGCCACCTCCTGAACCTTCTGCCACCTTCTTCCACCTCCTGAACCTTCTTCCACCTCCTGAACCTTCTTCCACCTCCTGAACATTCTTCCACCTCCTGAACCTTCTTCCACCTCCTGAACCTTCTTCCACCTCCTGAACCTTCTTCCACCTCCTGAACCTTCTTCCACCTCCTGAACCTTCATCCATCTCCTGAACCTTCATCCATCTCCTGAACCTTCTTCCACCTCCTGAACCTTCTTTCACCTCCTGAACCTTCTGCCACCTCCTGAACCTTCTGCCACCTCCTGAACCTTCTGCCACCTCCTGAACCTACTTCCAACTTCTGAACCTTCTTCCATCTCCTCCACATAGTAGTTAACCTGTCTCTAATTCTCTTCCCTATATTTTTATGTCTCCATTCTTTTCTTTTGACCTATGTGTTCCAATTAAAGTACATTTTAGTTATTCTATTATCAAAATTTCATTGTCTCAAAGTGCATTCCATTCATTATCAGCAATATTTTTCCTTGATCTTTTGGATTATTGGAATTTTTAACAAGACCAGGGTGACCTTATGTCACTTTTTCATCGGGACAATCTCATTTTTGTATGCATGTGTCATGGCCGCCCTGTTGGCATTCCAAAATGACTACAAATGTCACTTTTTCTAAAACTAGGAATACGCTGGAGACCTGAACATATCAATTTTAGTTAAATCTGTAGACCTTATTAGATTTCACGGTTTTAGATATTTTTATATTCTCAAGTTCTTAAAACGTATTGATTCCTAAATGATTAATGATGATGATAAAAAATTTTTGTGGAAATTTCATGATTTTAGCTTAAAATATCAGTGGCATGTCCAATTTTCAGCTCCCTAAAAAATTAGTGGGATGTCCAGTTTTCAGTTCAAGATATAATGGTCATCCTAGAACAAGACCCACCCACACTGGACTACAGGTTTACCTGGTGGTGAGTTAATATAATTGTGCCATATAGCTATACGGGGTAGAGGGCCACGTTAGCGCAGCCGATAGAAGACTCATTTCAAATCCGGCTGCAGCCCAATGCCAGTGTTCAAAACCGGGTGGTTCCCAGGATTCACCATGCCCCTAGGTAATGGGGTAAATGGAGGAACGTCGCTGTAGCTACGGAGTAGCATGCAGACAGCGACACAGGCAGATAGTTCCTTATCAGCTGTCGGTACTGGTGGCAGAGCAATTATGGTTTATAATTGTGTGCAATGACACTGTTTCACATCTCCCAACTTTTAACTATACGGTTGAGCAGGAAGGGCTTCTGGGATTTGTATCTGTTTGATTCTCATCTTTGAGGTGTTTATATATTTTTGTTTTAACCCTAAACTATTATTTATATCATGCCATTTTAGTTGTTTTATACACAATCAAAAATTAATATGTGTTGTTTAATAGTAAATATGTCACTAGGTAAGAAATGGAACCTATAAATATTCAAGTGAGTAGTTAGCTTCTGGAATTGTCCATGGTAGCTGTAAATTATACCAACATATAAATGTGAAGATTACTTTCTTTTGTTAACTGTAAATTATTTTAATAAACATTTTCAACGCATTAAAAATACAAATTATGTGAAACCATCAAGTCATTATTACCTCAAATACATCTAATTACATAAATGAATCAGGTTTTAGAATGGATGCTGAGGCTGGACAGTGTCAGAAACTGAGCATCCGTAAAAATTGACAGTTGACACTACAGTAACTCAATAAACCGTTAACCCTATCATGTTGAGGGGGGGGGGGGGGGGAGGATCCCTTCGGATCTAGGCTTCACATGTGATGTCCTAACACTATACATCCCCACAGAAGAAACTTTTCCAACACATTATTTACATTAAAGACAGCAAACTATATTAAGCAAATGCAAATTAAAAGGCTACAAAAATGCCATAGAACAGAAGTTTAAATGACAGATACGATTAGGGATACAAAAACAATGGGAATAACTTACCTTGTAGTTGTTAAGCAGAATTGTTCCATAGTCCTGAAAAATGATAGTAAAACATGTTTCAAGCAAATCAGAATATGTACTTCTTCTTCTTCACAGTCACCGGCAGTAAACTCTAGTGGACAGTGCTGGTTGTTTGCCCACTTCTGGACTGCAGTCCTGTTTCAGCACCTGAGTGTTGCGTGTGCATGCATTTGACAGATCTGACTAATATGAAGGCAGATGGTTCCTTGCCTCTCGAAAGGCAAGGAGAAAAAGAAAAAGAAGAATATGTACTAATATAGTGCTGTGGTCATAAATACTATCCTCTTCTTCTTCTTCTTCTTCTCAGCATTCACCAGCTGTAAACTCCCGCAGAAGGTTCTGTTTGTTTGTCCACTTCTGAACTTTAGTCTTGTTCCAGAACTTGAGTTTTGCATGCATATCCATTTTATAGATCAGGCTTACTTGTATGCAGACTGTTAGTTCCTCGTCATACTGACATAATTCCCTAATTAAGCGCCTTTTACGACATGTTTATTAAGGAAGTAGTGGATCTATTCTCCCTCTCCCAGAATGGGACCCGGAACCCATGCAGGGACAATATTATTCCTCTTCTGTGTTTGCCCTTAAAAGGCTCTTTGGCATGTTGTGATTTACAGCTCGGATGTGATATCTGCACCTTTCAATCTAAAACATCTGATTTCATGCCACCTTTAACTGGTCACCTTTTATGACGAGCTTGTTAAGGCATTCTGGAGGCTCACTTTGGAGGAAAAAGAATAATCTCACGGCCCCCTTAACAAGCATGTCATAAAAGGCAACTAATTTTGGATCTGCTGAAGTGGATGCGTTGGGGTCAAAAGGTGCTGTAAACAAAAACACAATGTGCCAAACATCCCTTTGAGGATGAACACTGAAGAAGATCAAATGGTTTGGTCATCTCGTTAGAATGTAGCCAGAACATCTACCAGCACAGGAGCTACACATGAAAATATTGAATGTTCTTCTTCTTCTTTCGTACGCTTTAAATAAATTATTTATATCTGCAATGTTGTCTTTAGTATCAACTTCACTGTCTTTTGTAATTCACTCAGCGACCCGTAAAGTTTGACTAGCACAGATGTTTTTCTTGGCCAAAAGTTTTGCCTTGATATGTTGTATTTGGTACAATCTTGGAGGACATGATCTGTTGTCTCAGGTGCCACTCCACATGTGCACATGGCTGATTTTTAAATGTTGTGTACTTGTGGCTGCGAAGTCAATTGTGGCCTGTTCTAAGGCGTTTAATAATAACTTGCTTTGGTCTGTCCATAAAATGGTAAACGTCTTGTTCCGGTTTTGGTGGCTTTCTGACTGATTTGATTATTCTTTTCTAATTTTAAAGCAAGAGGTTGCCCTAGGAAAACACAGATGGCATTAAAGACCTATCTATATCAATAAAGAATGACAATAATAACTGCTGCATATCAAGCAATGGACTACAAACTATTTCTCCCCATGACGCTCAACTTTAAAAGTGGAAATTCACGACTGAAGAAGAAAAGGTAATGTCCGGGGAAGTTAAAGCGGCTGGCATGCTGTTGATCACATGACTCACTAAGTACCGATTGTACAACAGCTCTGAGAAGAACCAGCAGGATTAAGTAGATGCTGTACAGTGACAGTGAAAATTACATTTTAAGATAAAGTACGACCATCTCCAAGAAGTCATTCATAGTGCTTGTCTCTCTTGCCTGCTGTTTCTCTTCCCAGGTAAGTAATTGTATCAACTTTACAAAGCTATGCAGAGGTTAGCACATTTCAATATAGAACCCAGTCCAGCTGGAGTACAACAGTAGAATATCTTTCAGGATAAGAAGAAATGGACAAGAGAAATGGGCATGACTGGCCAGACTGATGGAAAGAGAGTAAAGGGAAAGCACACGGATAAATACCTGGATGGCTTATCCATATGGATGGATATGACAAGAACATTAACATGATCAGTGACTCTGGTATCATGTAAGTTGGTGAAACACGACAGCCTACCATTACTGGTGTGACATGATGATAATGATGATGAAAGTATCTGTCAGGGCAAGAAGTTACACTCAGGCATAGAGGGTTAACACTAACAGACTGCTGTACCCCTTTTTCTGTAATTTCCTAATCTGCCGTTAAAACGCTGTACCTAATTTTTGGTGCTTTGCGTACTACGTGAAAAAATGCATCACAAACTAAAAATAACCAACCAATCGTGGTCAAACCTCATTGTTAGTGATTACATATGGCTGCTCCCACGTGTTTGGATTTACTTTGTGTGGTTTAACGTGACATCAGAAAATTAACAATGAAACGAGTGGCTGATGAACCAAATACTTCGACAGGAAAGCAAAGTAGGTCTAGGCTTTTCAGTCCAACAGATAATCGATACTTTGGTTGATTCTGACTAAGAAGTCAGAATTTGACCAAGAAAACGTTCCCAGTTCAAGTGACAGACATTGAGAGATCGAGTGATGAGTAGAATGAATCTTGAACCTCATAGATCTAGAACTAGATCGATAGTAAGAGAAGGGGGCGTGTCCCTTTTAAAAAAAAGCAACATGTGGTGCTCACTTTGTTAAATAAGGCTCATCATGCTGCGTAGACTGACAGACAAAGGTGGAAAATTAGCGCTAGATGAAACATGAACTTATTTTCTCCAAGTTTCATCTTATTCTAACCACTTGTTTGCATGTAACTATATTTTGTATATCATGTTAGTTTTTTCACGTTAATGCCCAGGAGCCTGGGTATAGGGGACAGTCAGATTTAGGGCCTCAGGTCTGGTAAAGTGAATTCAACACTTGGATGACACAGCAGTTAACATGTTCAAATCAGCAGCAATAATTTGTCAAACCATAAATGCATTTATGGACAAAAACAGCATAACATCAACAATACATTACCAGTCATGGAAAAATGAAGGCAGAAAATCTCACCCTTTTCAATTTTGCAACCGTTACATCAAAGCCTTCCATCCGCAACATGCCCATTCCCGTTAGAAAGGTGCCCACAAAGAAAGGAGCCATTATGAGCTGCAGACAACATAAATTTAGGCACTGATAAAACTGCAACAGCTGTTAATGCTCTTTGGCACTAGAAACAGTAGAAAAAAATGTAAAGGATTCTTTTTCCATCAGTGGCACATCAGGCCTATGGCTCTAGGCTCCTAGTTTTAAAGACAACCCTTATTAGATAAGTGATGTGGTCAGCATCATGCCAGCCACACGACTTTCACCAGGAACCCATTTTGGGCTTGGTCAACCTCGGAGGAAAGGTCATTTACAGATAAATCAGCCTTAATGAGGAACTGAGCTTACGACCTTCACCCAGCAGGCAAGAGCTTAAGCAGTGGTTTCTGTAATTAAAGAAGGGAAGAAGTACACCGCAGCACAGTTCATGTGGAGGTGATACTTTGGCATCGAGTTGAGATATACCTTTACACCAGCCGGGAGCCACCATGGCTAGACCATAGCTTGCAGATCCGAAGGTCTGTGGGTTCAGGTCTGACAGAGCCAGACTTTTTTTTTAAAATGACGTTGGCTTCCAGGTTGACCTAACCCCAAATGGGTACCAGGTGAAGTCGTGGGAAGTAAAGGCAGCTGGCATGATGTTGACAACATCACCCACCAAGTACTGATTGATCTATAAAATCTAGGTCTAGCTCTATGTTTCCATCATGTGTGAAGGCATGAAAAATGGATTATTTTACTTTTACATACTTCTTTAGCAACGCTCAAAAGAATGCTTACAAACCCTGAATATCTATGCACTGGCCATGAACGCAAAATTCAGTCCCCCAGGAAGCATCAGAAGTGAAACACCCCCTGGGTCAGTGAGTAAAGTTTAATCCGGTGACTTAACGAAGAACTATTAGGGTGAGAATCTCACAGGCACAAATCCCAAAAACCCTCTTTAAACCGTATGACAGTCATATGGGGCACTCGGCGGTTACAACATTACCCGGAGTCCAGTTCACAACAGGACTGAAAGATTTAACATCATCATACTTTACTTTTTCCAGGCTGGAATTCTAAAAGGATAGTTTCTCTGGTGCTTCACACAGTTTGTAGTTTTCTGAAATGTTGGTTAGAGGAAGTGTGTTGTTTATATGTAGTTTGTTGTTTGCAATGAAATGTGTTGTTCACATGTAGTGTGTTGTTTATATGTAGTGTAGTGTTTGCAATGAAGTGGGTTGTTCACATGTAGTGTGTTTTTTTATATGTAGTGTAGTGTTTGCAATGAAGTTTGTTGTTTGCAATGAAGGGTGTTGTTCACATGTAGTGTATTGTTCACTGTAGTGTATTGTTTGCAATTAAGTGTTTTGTTTATATGTAGCGTGTTCATAGGATGTTCTTTATATGAAGAGTGTTGTGTACATGTAGTATGCTGTGTACATGTAGTGTGTTGTTTACATGTAGTGTGCTGTTTACATGTAGTGTGCTGTTTATATGAAGCATGTTATGTACATGTAGTGTGCTGTTTACATGAAGCATGTTGTGTACATGTAGTGTGCTATTTACATGTAGTGTGCTGTTTATATCTTTTTCTTCTTCTTCGCGTTCACCAGCTGTACACTCTGGTGGAAAGTTCTGGTTGCTCGTCCACTAATGAACTGCAGTCCTGCTCCAGAACCTGAGTGTTGCGTGTGTATCAGTTTTACAGATCTCATTCTCTTGAATACAGACTGTTGGCTCCTTGCCTCTCCGGCAGATGCACTCCGACTTCAAAGGAAGCTCCCCAATTAGTCGACTCTTACCACATGCTTTTGGGGAGGCAGTGGGTCTATTCTTGCTTTCCCCACAATGGGGCCCCGGAACCCACACGGGTGTGTTGTTTATATGAAGCGTGTTGTGTACATGTAGTGTGCTGTTTACATGTAGTGTGCTATTTACATGAAGGATGTTGTGTACATGTAGTATGCTATTTACATGAAGGATGTTGTGTACATGTAGTATGCTATTTACATGAAGGATGTTGTGTACATGTAGTATGCTATTTACATGAAGGATGTTGTGTACATGTAGTGTGCTATTTACATGAAGGATGTTGTGTACATGTAGTGTGCTATTTACATGAAGGATGTTGTGTACATGTAGTGTACTATTTACATGAAGGATGTTGTGTACATGTAGTGTACTATTTACATGAAGGATGTTGTGTACATGTAGTATGCTGTTTACATGAAGGATGTTGTGTACATGTAGTATGCTATTTACATGAAGGATGTTGTGTACATGTAGTATGCTATTTACATGAAGGATGTTGTGTACATGTAGTGTGCTGTTTACATAAAGGATGTTGTGTACATGTAGTCCGCTGTTTACATGAAGGATGTTGTGTACATGTAGTGTGCTGTTTACATAAAGGATGTTGTGTACATGTAGTATGCTATTTACATGAAGAATGTTGTGTACATGTAGTGTGCTGTTTACATAAAGGATGTTGTGTACATGTAGTCCGCTGTTTACATGAAGGATGTTGTGTACATGTAGTCCGCTGTTTTAAAGTAATATATACTTTACATGACATTATTGATTAGAATGAAGTGTATAGGTTTACATGAAGTGTATAGCTTACACAAAGTGTATTGTTGACATGCAGCATACAGTTATTATGAAGTGTAGTTTATATGAAATGCATAGTCTGCTTGTAATATAGTTTACATGAAGTGTGCTGTTTACATAAAGTGTACTGTTGACGTGCAGCATAGATTACAAGAAGTGTACGGTTTATACGAAATGTATAGTTTACATGTAGTATATAGTTTACATGAACTGTTCCATTTAAATAAATTATGTTACAACTTACCTGATCTGTGGCCATCATCTTTAGGGCTGCCAACTTTTTGCCCGTGTAAAGTCTGTCTAATGTTAGATACCAGCCCCTCAGCACAGGGCCCTGAGGGATAAAGAGAGTCATATACAGGGCCCGATTTAGAACTGAGGCACCAAGCCATATGAAGCCCTGCTGCCCTTAGTTTAAATTACCCCAGCTAATCTCAGACCATTTTAAAATATTAACGCCTTTTAAATATTTGGATAATGAAACTATTTTTCGTTAATTTTTTTTAACTGAAATAATAAAGAATGTGTTTTAAACAAAAATCACAGATATTATATAATCTTTAAAAAAAGCTCTAAGTTATAACTAAACATAATATTTTTTCTTGATTTTCTAAATGCAAAATCATAGAAAATATGAAGCTTTCTTTCCAAGCCCCGGCAGAATGTAAAGCCTGAGCCGTAGCTCTGTTAGCTTATATCTAAATCTGGCACTGGTCGTACTTATGACAAAGCAAACAGAACTGGTTCAACTCATAACCCAGAACTACCTGTCAGGAACATACCAAACAGGTGGTCGTTTCCAAACAAATCTGACCTCATAAAACTTCAAAGAAATGAGACTAAACGTGAACACATGCTGAATACAACTGCCGTTCATTTCACTTGATTACAGATCTAAGTTTTCCTTGTTATCCAGTATTGTAATGAAGCAGTTTTTACTATTTTCCATGCCCAGTTATTTCAGTTTTCCACAGACATATTTTCACCATGTCAGTCCCAGAGTACAATTTGAAGGGAAAAAAACGGGGGGGGGGGGGGGGGGAGCAGGAGGGAGGGGGGGGGGGGGCAAACACTACTTCTTAACAAGCGTTTTGTGAAAGGCAACTAATGAACATTTTGCTTAAAGAGGATGTGTTGGGTGAAAAGGCACAGCTTTGACAGTCTAGCTGTAACTTCAAACACAACATGTGGTTGAGCTTTTAAGGACAAACACAGTAGAAGGAATAGAAGAAGAAACAGATGAACAAGGCGTATTCAGTTCAGTGCTGATTGTTCTTGGCTAACACAACACACCCGATATACATAAAGAAATGGTAGAAGATCCTTTACTTAACTAATTGTATAACAAATGTCCCTGTGTGGGTTTCAGGGCCCCCCATTGGGGGTGGGGGGAAAGGTGATAAGCCCACTGCCCCCCTTACTCACTGAGAGAAAAAGAACCCACTGTTCCCACCCCCCCCCCCCCCCCCCCCCCCCCCCCCCCCCCCCCCCAACTACCCAACGAATGTGTCGTAAAAGCTACTAATGTATGTTTAACTCAAAGTCTTAGTGCATCTGTCATAAAAGTGAGGGACCAACAGCCAGCTCTGTAAAACAGATGTGCATGCAAAAGTCAAGTTCTGGAACAAGACTAAAGTCCAGTTAAGGGACAAACAACCAGAACTTTTTTCAGAAATTTACAGTTGGTAAACACTAAAAAGAAGGAGATATAACAAATGTACACATCTTAATGTTGACCAGTTCAGATACTTACAAAGACACAGAAACCAATAACAAAAAATCGCCCGGTCCTTATTCCATCGTAGGCTGCTAATGGTTTCTTCTCAATGATAAGCTGGCTCATACAATCTCCAGCAGCCATCAGTGTACCTGCAAAAGAAACATCAACAATGTAACAGCGGCATCAGTGTACCTGCAAAAGAAACATCAACAATGTAACAGTGGATTGTCTAGTGTAATGAAGGATGTCTCGTTTCCATGAAGGAAGTCTCGTGTAATGAAGGAAGTCTCGTGTCATGAAGGAAGTCTTGTGTAATGAAGGAAGTATGTGTAATAAAGGATGTCTTATTGAATGAAGGATGTCTTATGTAATGAAGGATGTCTCGTGTAATGAAGGATGTCCCGTGTAATGAAGCAAGTCTTGTGTAATGAAGGAGGTCTATGTAATGAAGGAGGTCTTAGGTAATGAAGAGTCTCGTTGTAATGAAGGGAGGTCTTTCTGTGTAATGAAGATGTCTCGTTGTAATGAAGGAGGTCTTGTGTAAATGAAGGGATGTCTCTGTGTAATGAAGCAAGCTTGTCTGTGTAAGAAGGATGTCTTATGTAATGAAAGGAGCTATGTAATGAAGGAGTCTCGTGGTAATGAAGGAGGTCTTGTGTAATGAAGGGGGTTGAGGTAGATAAATTACTTGGAATTGTAGAAGAGCGGAAGGGGAAGTTCACCTGTCTGACTCTTCACCAACGTTCTGCAGCTTAGAATGGATGCTCTCCACAAGGACCTCGCGGGGCTGAACCAGATAAGATTCTCGCTGACACCAAAACTGAATGCGGTGATTGATTCATGATTTGTGAGCCAAGATAGGGATTATGCAGAAGGCAGGCGGCGCGCGCACGCGCACGAAGACACGCACACCGCCTGCGAGCAACCACACACACAGACAGAGAGAGAGAGAGAGACGAGAAGGAGAGAGAGAGAGAGCGAGAGAGAGAGAGCGATAGGGAGAGGGGAGAGAGGGAGAGGAGATGAGAGAGAGAGAGAGAGCGAGAGATTAGGGAGAGAGAGCGAGAGGGAGAGGGAGAGGGAGGAGAGAGAGAGAGAGAGAGAGAGAGAAGGAGAGGAAGGAGGAATGAGGAGGAGGAGGCGGGAGAGAGAGGAGAGATGAGGGAGAGAGAGACGATGAGAGAGAGTAGAGATGAGAGAGAATGAGGAATGAGGCGCTGGCAGAGATCACTTGCAGACAACCTTCGCTGTAAGACAGGCCCTGGGCTTTATTGATGTAACACTTTTAAAATGTCTCCTCATTTCCTCTTTGTCTTTCTTAGTGTTTTTACCAAAAAAACTGTTAAAAAAACACTAGTGGAATATTCGGGTTCATTTTGTTCTTATACTTATGGAACTTTTGGTCAGACTTGTTTCCAGACGGGTTTTGCGTTGCAAACCCATTCGATCATTATGGGGTCTAAGGAAAAAATTGGCGATGCTAGGGGAAGTTTACCAGGGGGGGACAAAAAAATTCTGGCCGGGGGACAATTAAAAACCTTCAGGGGGAGGGAATGAAGATGGATTTACAATCAAGTGACGGTGTGACTGGTTACCATCGGGGGGAAATTTGGAAAAAAAAAAAAACTCTTGGGGGCCTTGCTGCTAGCAAGATAGATAGGTACGGAAGCACTTAAGGCGCGCGAAGTGGTCCAGAGTGCTAGTGGATGTTGATTCTTCCCAAATTCAAAAAAACAACAATCTGTTTCGCAAGGGGGAAGTTGCCCTCCCTTCTCACAGGGCAGATCGAAATTGGGGGGGCCAAACATCCAGAATTGGCAAAAACCCTATGACCTTATGGGAAAAACAAAACCCACCCACTCAATTGATTCATCTTTTATGATATGGCATTTAGGTCTATTAAATTTTATACACCCAAAAAAAAAGGGCCCTGAATCCTTCCAGAGGGAAAAAATTCTTAAATATAGTGACAAACAATAATGAAAAGGCGGAAAAAAAAAAAAAAACAATTACTGTTCCAGCTTCTTTAAACGGGCAAGGTCAACACCCCCAAATTCTCTGCGGACAATGTCCAGGGACCCTTTTAAATTCTTGAGTGGTGGGTCCACTTTTCCCCGTCTGGCTGAAACGTTGGGGGAAGATACTTTAAAGACTGGCCAATTAACTTTTTCTTTCTGAAAAAAAGAAGGCAATGGACTTGAAGGAACCCCAATTTCTTTTTCAAAAATGTCAATTCTTAAGCAGGGGGGCGGTTACAGGTTTGTGTGGACCTGTCACTCTTGAGCTCTGGATAAGCCAAACCAAAAAGTCAAACTGAAAATTCTTTTTGTATTAAAAAAAATCTATGATTATGATGGAGGTGGAATTGTATTAAAATGGCATTGGGGGGTTGGGAAGAAGACAAAAAAAATACAAAAACAAAAAACAAACAAAAAAAAAAGGGATTTTTTTTAATTTACAAGGTGGGAAAGGGGAAACGAGAAAGAAAAAAAAAAGCTAAAGAGAGTTCCATATAAATAATGATGAAACAAAATAATTCAAATAAATATTACACAAAACAAATAAATTAGAAAAAAAATAAAAACCAAAAAAAAAAAAAAAAAACAAGGGGAGCCTTCCATTTCAGAAGTGGGGAACAAATAGGGCAAAAAAACTAATTTGGGAATGTTATAGGCTGCCACCTGGGGGGACCAAAAAAACCAAACAAAAACAAAACAACATAAGGACAAAAAAACAACACACCACATGCTGGGTGGGTTGGTTCTGTTTAGGACCTGGTAAAGGTATACACAAAAAAACTAAAACGGGGCAAAAACAACAACCCGTCTATTTGTGGCAGCAGGAACATTAAATTTAAAACTTTAAAGTTCAAAAGTCCTTTTCTATCTACAAAAAAACCAGGGGGCAGTTTCTATAAATTTTAACTAAATCTGGTGTCAAAAAACTAAAAATTTATGTCTGTAAAATGGCACCAAAAAAACTGGGTCTTTGCCTATAAAACACTTTTTTTTCAGTCAAAAACTGCAAAATTGCTGGGCCTTTATTTTAATATTTGTGATTGGTGTGGGGCATAGGTGGGGGGGGTCTTTAACGCCTTGAGGATTGACGGGGCCAACCCCCCCTGGCCTTAGTGGCTGTCGCCCCCCAACCGCTGTGGCAGTGTGGGAGGGATTTATTTTGGCCCCCCGACAGAACAAAAACCCTCAGCCTTACCCGCGGATTCGGAACCTGGAAGTTCTTCACAGCTATGAAAGGGGAGCCCAGGCCTTTCTAACATGTTTCAGCCAGCAAAACTTCCTCATAACAAAAACGTTTTTCCAGTATGTTAAGTAGATAATTGTTTTCCTCGGCTTTTACCCCTAGAAAAGGTCTTTAACTTAAAAGTAGGGGGCTCTTCACAACTATGTCCTTTATCAGGGGTTAAAATGGTGGGACCAAAAATGGAAATCGGGCTACACGCCAGGGACCGGGGCCCCAGCTACAGAAAAGATCATTTATTACAACTAACAAGTGGCAGCCAAGAGAATCTCACAGCCACTTTACCAGGGACTTGGGTGGGGGTTCAGATGCAGTTTGGTTTAGAAAAGAACATCAAAACAGAACAATAACCACATATAGGGAACAGAATTTAAGCTTAACTAAAGAAATAGGATTTCCAGCTTAAAACAGAAAAAAACAAACACGGAACTGGATTAGGAAAGGGACACCCCACAACAAAAAAAAACAACTATTTCCACTGGGCCAAAGTAAAAATGTGAAAACGGTTTATGATGAAGTGCTTGGTATTTTTTTAAAAAAAAAAAAAATCTTGTCGTGTCAGGATTAGATGAGTGTTTATTTTACCTTATTTCCCAGCTGTGTAAAAACCCCAAAGGGTCTAGGTCGGTGTGCTTGGATGCTGTTAATTCATAAATGGAATCTGTGTCACGTATAATAAAACAACGGTTCCAAGTTTTCCCCATCTGTGAAGACAAACCAATCCACAGCAAATACAAGTTCAATTCGGTTTTTATTTTTTTTAAACAAAGTGAAATTATACAAACCCACGCTGTGCCACGGTGTATCTTGTTTGAACAATAATCATTGGGTTTTTACGGTATCTGCCTAATCTCTTTCCCAGTCCCCAAACCCCACGGGGCCAGTATGCGGTTTACTGACCTACTTCATTCATCTGTCTCAAAAACATCAACATTCAAGTATCTTCCTACATTTTCCCTGGTTTTAATCACAAACGTAATATCAACAGAAATCTGGTGACACACCCCACCGGGGCATCTTTTAGTCCATTTTTTTACTCCTACAACGGCAGGAAATGGTTAATTATTTTGCCTTTAGACAACCAAAAAAAAAACAAACTTTGTTGTTGTGGTTTTTGGTTAAATATGCAATGAAAAAAACAAAAAATTATTTTTTTCATAACCAAAAAAAAAAAAAACAAATCTCATGGGGCAGTGTCCGTGGGCTTGGCGCCGTGCGAGGAGTACGAACTTCCATAATGCACACTACATACACGATCGTAACCCCACTGATGGCTGTGTGGGGATTTTTATCATTTGGTATGGGGGCGTTTCACCCAACCGGGTTCGACCCAAAAAACCCTAAAACACAGGGTACAAGGAATGGTGGTATCCTGGGGGGAGTAAAGGTAGGGGGCCGGCTGTGCTTGAAAACTGACCCCAAATTACCCACCCTATGTACTGATTGGTCTGTAAAAAAAGTATGGGTGCTCTTCCCATTATGCCTGATGCCACCTACAAGGCGTGAAAAGGGGGTCTTTACTTTACTTACAAAAACCTCATGGGGGGACCGGGGATAAAAGAGTTAAAGGTATGTTAATAGATAGCATATGAAATTCAAATTTAAAAACAAAATCGACCCAATTGTACCCCCTGTTTAAAATACTGATAACACAAATTGACCCTGGCCTAAAAATTAAAAAAAAACAACTGGTTTTTAATGCTTTCTAGTAAACAACAAATGAACTTTTCACGTGTATAATGGGGCCTCTTTTACCAAAAATACTAAAAACAAAAGGGGGACAGGGACAGTTTGCATAAAAAACAAGCCCTTTTACCACCATACATTCAAACTAATGGAAGGTTTCAGATTTGTTTAGAGTGCATTTATTTATCCCACTCGTACTCTCAAATGTGTAGAGACTCGGAGACTCGGCTTTAAACTCCAGCTCAGACTCGGTGGTGTTCGAAACCGGGCGGTTCCCGGGGTTCACC